CACACACACACACACACACACACACACACACACACACACACACAGACTCTTGCCCTTTCACCTTTTGGAGAGTTGGAATAAAAAGAAATGAACACACCAGAACAAAGATGACCTGCTGTCTGAGCTGCTGTACTTGCAAACATTACTAGATGCACAAACTGAGCTGAGTTAGCGTGAGCCGTGACCGAGCGACGTTTGGACAAAATAAACAGTTGATGAAATACGTCCTGAACAAACAGGTCAAATCAGATCAAGTTACTCTGGCAGGTAAATAACAGTTCAGACCAAACAGAAAGGAGAGCTCTGATCTGCTTGGTAGGGCATCATATAGCTCTGGACATATTTGTGAATGATATAAAATTGTTGGATAGTAACTGTGACATAATGTGCATGCTGAAAAAAAATGTTCCAGTGCTCAGCAGTAAATCCAACACCAGCTGGCTGCTCTGGTTCAAATGTGACTCATGTCATGGAGGACGTCACCAGTTTGAAACTTTACACATTCTGCTATGTTTTCTTTGTGACCATCTGAGTAAAGACAAGTGACTAATGTGTGCTCACACAGAAAGATAAAGGTCTGATATTACACTGAGTTCATGTAATGAGGTTATTTTATGGAAACTCATTGAAAATAATTATTGGATGTACATCTGATCAACCGTCAAAACTCCAACAAAAATCACAGTTTCACAGATATCATGACATTAACTACTGAAGTCAATTATTTCTGTCTGTTAGGAAAATATATATATTTTTATTTACCATTATTTTACCAGGCAAGTGCCATTGAGATCTCAGATCTCTTTTTCAAGGGGGGCCTGAAGGCAAACTATTGTACATGTTTTTGGGGGTGGTGGAAATCGGAGTACCCAGAAAAAACCCACGCAAGCACGAGGAGAACATGCAAACTCCACACAGAAAGACCCCAGGTCCAAAGCGGGGATCAAACCCAGGACCTTCTTGCTGTGGGGCATTGGCGCTAACCACTGAGCCGTCGTGCTGCACTGGGTGAGTTTTAATTAGACTTTGAGAAAATAGTGATAGGACGTACAGGGGATGGACAATGAAACTGAAACACCAGTCATGTTAGTGTGGGAGGTTTCATGGCTAAATTGGACCAGCCTGGTGGTCAGTCTTCATTAACTGCACATTGCACCAGTAAGAGCAGAGTGTGAAGGTTCAATTAGCAGGGTAAGACCACAGTTTGGCTCAAAATACTGCAATGCACACAACATTATGGGTGACATACCAAAGTTCAAAAGAGGACAAATTGTTGGTGCACGTCTTGCTGGAGCATCTGTGACCAATACAGCAAGTCTTTATGATGTATCAAGAGCCACAGTATCCAGGGTAATGTCAGCATACCACCAAGAAGGACCAACCACATCCAACAGGATTAACTGTGGACGCAAGAGGAAGCTGTCTGAAAGAGATGTTCGAGTGCTAACCCGGATTGTATGCAAAAAACATAAAACCACAACTGCCCAAATCATGGCAGAATTAAATGTGCATCTCAACTCTCCTGTTTCCACCAGAACTGTCCGTCGGGAGCTCCACTGGGTCAATATATATGGCCAGGCTGTTATAGCCAAACCTTTGGTCACTCGGGCTAATCCTAAACATTGGTTTCAATGTTGCAAGGACCGCAAATCTTGGGCTGTGGACAAAGTGAAACATATTGTTCTCTGATGAGTCGACCTTTACTGTTTTCCCCACATCCAGGAGAGTGTGGAGAAGCTCTAAAGAAGCATACCACCCAGACTGTTGCATGCCCAGAGTGAAGCATGGGGGTGGATCAGTGATTGTTTGGGCTGCCATACCATGGCATTACCTTGGCCCAATACTTGTGCTAGATGGGCGCAACACTGCCAAGGACTACCGCACCATTCTGGAGGACCATGTGCATCCAATGGTTCAAACATTGTATCCTGAAGGCGGTGCCTTGTATCAGGATGACAGTGCACCAATACACACAGCAAGACTGGTGAAAGATCGATTTGATGGCTGCCACAGCTAACTGTCTTCAACAAACACAAAAATGTCTACAACTCAGTTACTTGTACAGATATTAAGCTAAAACTTGACATGGTATAGTTGAGCATCACATCACAACACACACTTGGAGCACTACATGCTGAGTAAGATTTAAAGTTTTGTTTTGACCATTGACAGTGAACCTAGCTCTGTTAGCATAATATGTCTTGAACAGCAGGATTGATTTTGTTCAAACTCTCTTTGTGAACATCTGAACTGATTATGTGTTGGAGTCGCCCCAACTTAAGATGGCTCACAGCTAATAAACATTAGCTAAAACAAACATGGCTGTAACTCAGTCAATTTTAGAGATGCTGAATTAAAACTCTGTGGTGAAAGGAGACGGGTAATGTACTTAATTTAGGAGTACTAGGGTTTTCATTAAAGTTGCATTTACTTCAGCTGACAAGTTCTTTAGGGG